CAACTATTATAGACTAGTTTCCTAGCTTTTGGCTCAGCCAAATTGGTTTAATTTTTCATTAGAACTTTGTGATCCTTTTAATTTCCCAGTTCTTTGTGTTCATTAATGGTCTTGACAATAAGTGTTAATTGCTGTGCGAGCCCACCGCGGACGAACGTGGTCAGCTGGCGTCATAGAATCTATGCATAAATTTGCATAAAATGCGGTCGACCAGCGAGCACCCACCACCACCGCGGTAATGACCGCGGGGCACCGCCCGTTTGATTTCCTACTCTCTCCTTAGTTATTTATTATTAACTTTATTACATTTTAAACACCAAATTTGGAATGTAAAAATGACTACATAGTTGTAATTAAGATGTTATCTATCTATCTAACATAAAATAATATAATACATAATATAATATAATATAAAAAACTGGGACTGCTTACCTTGGTATTGGTTTAGGTTCTAGACTGATGCCTCCTCTCCCACACTGTCCATACTGATCATTGCCCCAACTAAATACAGAGTATTTGTCATTGATTACCAAGGTATGAAAGTCACCACAGCTTACACCAATAATACGATGAAGTTCTAATGCAAATACTTGACCTGTAACATAAAACAGTTTTAATTTTTTTTACAAATTAGATTGCGTTGTACATGTTAACAAAAATATACATGTCACTAATCAAAGCAACACTTGACAAAACTGCATATAGATACACATGTACATGTAGATAGATATTTTGTTTTGTATGAATGAAAAAAAAGCATAAAATAAATTAGTGACAAAGAAAACTAACAAAAAATAGACTAAAGCTTAGAAATAAAATAAGTCTTCTTTAGTGTCTAGCAAGCACTTAAATTTCTCAACAGTTGATAACTTGCAAATGTTGTCATCATAAATTGCTAATTAAGCTTCAAATTTAGTACGAGCTTGTACAATCTGACTATTTTTACAATTGAGTAAAACATGGAATTCATCACCAATAGCCTTTTAATTACATAGAGAACAAAACCTTTGCTCTGTTGGTTCTTTTATTTTTATTATATCTATATTTTTTCGTTAAAGATCTAGACATGTGCCGAGACTCTGGACTGAGTCGGCACATGTCAATCGATGCTCGGGTCCAAAACTCAACATGTGCAGAGTTTTGCTGTCTGAACGCTCAGCAGGAACCAAAATCACGCCCACGGAGGTGAATTTTAAGAGAACATATAATGATTCATACAAGTATGACATGACAACGGAGGAAATTACAGCTATATATGGTTGAATGCTGTAGTAATGAATGAAATGAATGCAAACCGTCGTCAACAACGTATATTTATGTACTGTAACCATTTTTTCTTGCAATGCTACATCAACGTGAAACAATAATTGTTTTTTGAATCGTTTTTGTCGTTCTTATGTACGATGACTCGTAATAAATACCATAACAGCAAATGGATATAATTTCAATATAGCAATTATCATATGCGTATTGTTTTCCAGGCTTGGGTCATATAACAGATCAACGAATGAGGGCATGATTTTAGCACAAGCCAAGTGGGTCCTAAGTGGGTCCTGACTATTGTGAACGTTATTGAGCAGCAAAATTGATATGTCGCATATGTAAAGGTAATTTTAGTCTCAAGAACTATCCAAAAGAAAGTTTATGGCTTTTGTTTTCATCACAATGATGGTTGCTAGGCGTTGAAAAGGTTCGGATGTTCGCCTCCGAGAATACGCAGCTCAAAACATAAACATCTGTAGTGCATTATTATGAAAAATGTTTAAATTTGCCATTGAATGCCGACTGGCTTGTAGCAGATCTCTCAAGATGGAAATCTTTTCATAAATGCAAATACATGTACCTGGGTACATTTGGTCATTTTTGCAATAAATTACACTCTCAGGCAATATAAGGATATTGTTTGCGCTCACCAGCCTAATTCTCATGAAAATGATGGTTGTAATTTAGTGGATAGTAGTAGCTATTTTGTTAGTGTTATAATGTTCATATGGCAAAGATATTACACCAATTGTAGCCTGGTGACATAGACTGAAAAAATTATATATTAATGATGGGGTACTTTTTGTTGTTCTGAATTATTTCAAAAATCAGGGTTTTAAAAGGGTAAACAAATGAATATTTTTTAACATTGTGTTCTATTCTAATTGTTCTAAAAATAGTGATTTGTAAAATATATTAATTTAAAATATTAGGACAAGTAACAAACAAAAGAATACTATTTCATAGTGCCATTGGACAACAGCTCCATGATTGATAAACCATTGAATATTGTCATGGGATTTATGACCAACTGTCTCAAAAATTAATAGGAGTAGGCTTCAACCTTGAAACTAAATTGTTGTGAGAGACTTCCCTATGCACATGTGCAGTTTTGATGACAGTGTCAATTTTAAATATATGCTATATACACAAATGATTGATTCAGATTGAAGTTCTAACCTCCCATGCTTATCTGCAGATTACATTCATATATATGCAAGCTATAATATTGATATAATTAACCAACAATGTCAATATGAAGTAAGATTGGCAATTACTTAATGGCATTCAGCATGACATATGCTAAGTTTACAGGACCATATTTTATCGGAGCTCTACAGCTCAAGCCAGCAAAAAAGGCCTTGTATATGCGTTCGGGTTGTGCCATGTTCGACTCCAACAAACCCTTGGGGTTGAACCACATTCATTAAAACAAAATGGCCACCATTTTTTGAATTTTATCTGAAAAACAAAATGTTGTGAATCAAGGTCCTATAATGTCCAATGTATATACTAAGTTTGAACAAAATCCATCTGTAAACAGCCCAGAAATTCTTGATTTTGATGATTTTTTAGCACAAAAATGGCCACCATTCGGCCATTTTTAATAGGATCGTCAAACCAATATATCTGTATATCTATGACATGATGTATAATTGATATTTAAAATTTGAACATAATCAGTCACAGCAAGTCAGTGATATGGCACTAGAACCACATTTATTAAAACAAAATGGCTGCCAGTCGGCCATTTTGAGTCTTATCTGCAAACAAAACGATGTGTATCAAGGTCCTATAATGTTCAACGTATATACCAAGTTTGAACAAAATCCATCTGTAAACAGCCGAGAAATGCTTGTTTTTAATGATTTTTAAAACAAAAATGGCCGCCATTCAGCCATTTTGAATCAGATCTTGAAAATTGATGTGCACATGTATAATATCATGTATGATGTATGTGTGAAGTTTGATTGTGATTGGTCCAGGCATTTCTAAGATACAGGTCCGGACGCACGCACGGAAGTCAAAGCATAAGTCCCCGTTTTCGGACTGCGCCTGAACGGGGACTAAAAATCATAGAAGGGGTCATGGTACAGTGATGTGTTCATACTAGGTTTAGGTTAACAACTGTTACACATATCACTACAGTTAAACAATTACAAGATGGTAATTTTGCATGACAATAACTTAAGAGAATAGGTTGTAACACATTCAGCGTATTTTAGCTGCTGTGTACATGTATCCTGTTTATTCGAGATACCTAAATACCTAATATCAATGCGTTGTCTCGACTCATGACTGTTTTATTTCCCAGCTCAAAAACATTATGCTATGTAAAGAAACAACACAAGTACAACACCAAATTCATTTTCAGCCATGTTGATCTCTTACGGCGCTGTTATGTTTGACTCTGATCAAACTGAATTGAATTCTATCAGATCTAGGCTCTTGTTCGGCCCCCAAGCATGTGAATGCATTGGAGATAATCTCCTATTAATCTGTCAACTCATTACCAACAACTTTTAAATAATACAAACTCTAATAGATGATATTTCATGTTACTGCAAACACCATGTCAAATCTGTGGTAGAAAGGGGGTGATTTTATTTATTTTTTAAATAGATTTCGTTGAATTCTATATAGCAGTTTTCGTTGCCAATTTTGGCATCCTCTGTAACAACACTTCAGAGATTAGCTTTGTGAATGTGATTTAAATATGTAATTAGGCAATGCACAGTGTTGAACAGCACCTATGCTAGCCAGGGTTTATCGTCATATTGGGTAGATAGGTCCTAGGCTTCATCTGTCAGTGTACATGGTAGCGATGTTATACAGGCCAGACACTAACGCCGTGGTGCAACCCTAATTTGCAAGTATGCTGACATGTAAAACTGGCCGGAAAACAAAGTAAATAGTCTGCTTTTGGTCAAACGCTGTTGTATGCACTGACAGGTGAAACCGTGGTTACACCTATACCTACATCAGATTTTAATCATTCTGTGTGATACATGTATAAACGTATACTTTGCCTCCTCACCTAACTCGATTGGTGAATCACGTCCAAGTTGTGCTTCATCATTAGATCCACATGTCCAAATTGTGCCATCTTCTAACACAAATACTGTATGATGAAGGCCACACCCAATGTCTAATACAGTACGATCGTTACTAAAATAACCATGAGACACTGGTGACAGTACTTTGCCTTCTTCAAGTACACTCTCCCCCAGGCCCAGCTGTCCAAATGCAGACGACCCCCAGCAGTGAAGTGGCATTGTGCTCTCCTATCTATACGGAAGTTTATATCAACTCAGACAACTAATACTTGTCTGAGATACCAATAAGGAGATTCTGCTAAGGCGTTCAGTCATGTAACACGACGCACATGGGAGCAGTCGAAAAAGTATCTGCATATTACAAACATAACTGACGAATCGGTGACAATCCTTCTCGAACTTTCACAACACCAACAAATCACAAACAATATCAAAGAGGTACAAGTTTAAAGTAGATTGTCTCTGAGACTCTGCGCATCTGTTATCCGCTCATGTTTCATCAATTAGAAGGTATACGACGATCCAAAAAATAGCAAACAGTCACATAACTTCTGAGTGTCGACAGTCATCTTCGCTGTTCGTAACTATCAAAGAACGCCATTTTAAGCAAAGCGCCATCACACAACGGAAAGTTGGTCTACTCGGAACCGGAAGTGCATAATGGAATTAATGCAATTTAATTTAAGATAATGGCTAAAATTTTCATGGGAATCCTTTATGCGTGTGACAGTGCATGCAGGATGTATGCGCGTGTGTTTTGTGCCGCAGAATCCAGTTTTGGTTCAAGACGGCGATAGTGAAGATCTCGCGAGATATACATGTAGCTATGACGTCATGGACCCAATTCTGGGGGATTCCCCTGGTATGACGTTGACAAAATCCCCTTTACAAAAATAACGCTGATTTGTTTCCGCGTGCACGAAAACTTGCGCTTTACTCTGACGATAGTAATACAAATTGGACGTACTTCTATTATAGAGACGAAACAACAAGTTTAGTTGTTAAATAGTTATAGTGTTGGCCACGTTGTGTACTGCGCTTGACTTGAGTCGAGCTGAACAAATATCCAAAATGTCGGATGTATTACGGTTACGGGAACTAACGTACAAGCTTGCCAGTGTTACAGCTGAGAGAGACGCCCTTCGGAATCAACAGCCCAAGCTAGATAATATAACTCGAATTATTGTTCAACTAAAGGGAGATATAACGCGGTATCAAGAAACTCTGCGGATGAAGGAATTAAAACTGATGCGAATGGAAAGCAGATTTAACATGCTTTTGAAGGAACGTTCAACACAGATCGACTTGAACAATGATGAAGACAGTATTGACGCTGAAAAGGCCGCATTAAAATGTAGAAGTGAAACCCCATTATTCGCAAGGGGTCGGACAATGACACCTGGGACCTCGCCTGTTGTGGAAAATTTAGTCACTGAACTTAATAAAACAAAAAATGCGCTTGAAAAACAGTTGGAAGGAAAAGATATCGATACATTTATTGTAAGTAACAAATGATACCTAAATGGAGTCGACAAAACCATACTTTATAAACCTAAAAATACGTATAACCTGAAACGGCTGTTGTATATTGTATTACCTTGTGCAGTGAGCATTTGTGACATTTTCAGTCATCGCAATCATCAATTACTGCGTAATAATTAATAATCTTCCATATCAGCTGAATAAATATTTAGGTTTTCAAATAATTTATTTGCTCTATTTAAAGTGACACATTTCCGATATATCACATTTGCAGTATACTGAATCATTCCTTATTTTGACAATACAAATACCTCGCTATGATTTATGTTAGTACATGTTTTAATTAATAATAGAGCAAATATATTAACTATAAATCTATCACTTTGTTGACTCCATAGTTTGAACATGGTTTATCATGTGATATTAGTAATATTCTGTTGATTGTTTGATGAGATTGCATTGTATGTTAATGAATGAGGATGAATGGTCAGTGAATGTCCTTCAATGATTTCAAGGTTCTTTCGCATCAACAGTAAGTAAGGTAGTAGTGTGAAATACACTTTAATAGAATAAAAAGATCAAGGTCTTAGTGATTCGTCATTTTTTGTGTTAGCCATATGCAACTCAAAAAGTTCAGGTCTTATCTTGGCATTATTCCAACTATTCAAAATTGGTTCTGCCATGTTGTTGATTGAAACATGGAAAAAGCTTTAACTGAAATGTTTAAATTAATCAATTGTACAATACATTACGTGTTACCTTTGAATACTTAGGAACTTAATCTCTTTTCTATTGTAACATATGACACCAAAAGAAAATGTCATAAACAACAATGTATGAGTCAATGGGTACTTTCCTATGATGCGTTGGCTTCAAATAACCACCTTCATCATTATATTATTGGAAACTACCATACATATACATTAAGGATTAATAACACAAAATTTAATTACTATACTACCATTTTATATTAATTTTCATTTATTGTTACAGTATTAAATTTAGCTCTTTTGTTTATTAAAATTCATAGTAATGCCCACTACATGTACATATATATGCTGACTATATGTGCATAAGAAATTTCCTATTAATTTCAATAGCAGTTGAATCCAACCTGCAGCCAATCAACGATGTCAATAGAAAAGATTCCCATGTTATTCAATCACCCAAAAGATACCACTCGTTTTGTTTGATTCCCAGCAAGCAAGAAAGCCCAAAGCATCAGAACTGATGTTTTTCCTGTTTTTGTTAATGAAAGTATATTTTAATTCTGATATTATTTCTTTATACATGTATAGCTTTGTGTATAGATACAGTACTGCTTTATCTTATTACATACATACTTATCATAATTGTGTCATTCATTTATCGCATTTGTGGTACTCAGTTACTGTGTCACATTTATCTGATAGCTTTTATCTTGTTTTTTGCCACACCATACCATCGACCAAAGTCTGTCTCTGCTGAGGTTAATTTGTATTACTGATAGATCGCTTTTTATAAAGAAATCATTGATCTCACACCAACCTGGACGATCATGGAAATTTGCCAACAATGTTTGTGCTTTTTCAGAGTTTAGATTTAAATTGCCACATCAGTGCAATGCACAATGAAAATAGGTGATGTAAGTGTGAAAATGATTTTGTGACAACGATACATGAATAGGACAATGTGTTATATGGTAATGATACATACATGTATGTGACACTAATGTGATGACAGCACGATATGAGTTCATAAATAATTGACAGTAGGTACAAAAACCATACTGTACCTTACCATATCTGCCATTGCACTTCAGCATCTGAAATTATTTGTTTCAACACAACAAATACAAATTACAGTGTATTGTAAAATACTTTTTTTTCCACTTGGAATTTATTATCGATGAAGTCGATGAAGAGATGCTTCAGTAAAAAAGAAAAATCCAGTGAATATACTTTTTTTTTCTATATTTCACATTCAACTCATTAAAAATCAGTGAAAATAAATCCCATACAAAACACCAAAACAGCTTTTTACTTAGAGAAAGTATTTTACAGTATATGGAAGAATGAACCTCCTAAAATTCAAATGCAGAATTTACAATAGATCAGTTTTTGTCAGCTGGAAAATACCTTTTTAGTTTAAAATCTAAATATGACATCATTACCACTTGAGATCAGTTAATGATTTATCTTATACTTTTATTTTAATGATAACCCAGGAATCATCAGAATATGAACGTATAATTGATGAATTGAAACAGACAATTGCTACCAAAACTAAAGAAAATGAAGAATTAAAGAAGACTCTTTTGACAGATCATAATGATAGAAGTATTGTAATTAAATTACAAGATTCACTTGAAATGGTATGTATTATATATGTTCAATATTACATGACAAAATTAGGAATTTGTTTGATCTTTGGGAAAAATTAATTTATTGTATTATTTATATGGGCATATGGTCACTAAACAGAAGTACACACATTAATTAATTGTGTATATCGAGCTGAAACTCTCTGTTTAAAACAAATTAAACTTGTTTTGGAGAATTATCAATTTTTTTTAAACAGAAATACTGCTACAGGATTAGCTCAAACTTATAAGCTGCACTCCAATATTTGCAGGCTGATGCAGTAAACTGCATTCCAATATTTGCAGGTTGATGCAGTAAAGTGCACTCCTATATTTGCAGGCTGATGCAGTAAACTGCATTCCTATATTTGCAGGCTGATGCAGTACTAAGCTACACTCCTGTATTTGCAGGCTGATGCAGTAAACTGCATTCCCATATTTGCAGGCTGATACAGTAAACTGCACTCCTACATTTGCAGGCTGATGCAGTAAGCTGCACTCCTACATTTGCAGGCTGATGCAGTACTAAGCTGCACTCCTGTATTTGCAGGCTGATGCAGTAAACTGCATTCCTATATTTGCAGGTCAATGCAGTAAAGTGCACTCCTATATTTGCAGGCTGATGCAGTAAACTGCATTCCTATATTTGCAGGTTGATGCAGTAAACTGCACTCCTATATTTGCAGGCTGATGCAGTAAACTGCATTCCTATATTTGCAGGTCAATGCAGTAAAGTGCACTCCTATATTTGCAGGCTGATGCAGTAAACTGCATTCCTATATTTGCAGGCTGATGCAGTAAACTGCACTCCTATATTTGCAGGCTGATGCAGTAAACTGCATTTCTATATTTGCAGGCTGATACAGTAAACTGCACTCCTACATTTGCAGGCTGATGCAGTAAGCTGCACTCCTACATTTGCAGGCTGATGCAGTACTAAGCTGCACTCCTATATTTGCAGGCTGATGCAGTAAACTGCATTCCTATATTTGCAGGTTGATGCAGTAAACTGCATTCCTATATTTGCAGGCTGATACAGTAAACTGCACTCCTATATTTGCAGGTCGATGCAGTAAACTGCATTCCTATATTTTCAGGTTGAAGCAGTAAACTGCACTCCTATATTTGCAGGTTGAT